TAAAGAGTTATCGTTACTATGTTAATATAATATAATATGTATTCTTTTATAAATAAATGTAAACGCTATTTATGTGAGAGATTCTTGCCTATGATAAGTTAGAAATAGTTATATATTCAAGCATCAATTGAATTTATTTGTGCTTATGCAATTGCTGTCGGAAGATGAGAGATTTATCGCGAATCTTTTCCGCGCGATTCTCGACTTTCGCAAATTTCCTTCCTACGAGCGGGAGCTTTTGAATTTATGTGCCTTTGCCTTGTTGTATCCTCGAGCTGTCTCGCAACACGTGAAACGAACACCAGAATTTTTCGCAATGAAACGTATTCTTCCCCCTTTTGGATCTCATTCTAATTTTGCTACTTTTTTTATCTCGCTCTTCGTCAACGTTTTCACGTTTATTTTCGTCCCAGGACTGAGCGATGCATCTCCGAAAGCGCTCAACAACGCAACGCTTCGCTCAGATGCGTCCACTCACGGGGTCTAATCCGGGGAATGACTTTCTAAACACGGTCGTGCCCTTTCTCACCCGTTCTGCTTGTATCAACGACGATATCATCGTCGCGCTATATAATACGACGACGACAAAGGTAGGTTTCCTTCGCGCGATCATATACCGTAGCGCTATTGTTATTAATTATTCCCTTCGCGCGAAACAAAAGCGCTGCTTTGCTATTGTTGCTAAGATCGCGGATACGACGGTGTAAATTGCCGCTAGAACGGGGGCGTTAACGAGTGAACGGAAGAAACTGCGGAATTATATCTACGATACATGCAGTTAACGAACTAGCTACCGGCCGCGTTCGTCCTGGCGAGAATTAAACCATAATAATGGCTCTTGACGTTATCACGTAATAAAATATTTTCTTTCAGCGTATGCGCTACTTCCCAGAGTAGTGTTAATGAAAATGGCGCGCTGCTGAAAGAAAAAGAAAGAAAGAGAGAGAGGAATGTATATTTTTTAACACATGTTCTTCAGACCTGTGCGCACGTAACACATAAAATATCGAGTGTATATATTTCGATATATACACTGAGTCATTTTATAATTATATATTCTTTGCCACGTTTACACGTTTAATTGTTGTATCCTCGAGCTGTCTCGCAACACGTGAAACGAACACCAGAATTTTCCGCTTTCACGTGTCATACGTAATGTCCCATCCCTCCGAAGAGTTCCGCGCGCGCGATACGACGTGGAATTTAATTCATCGCGTGTCTGCCCGCTTACCGTGATTGTTCTCCTCGCACGATGACGTGCGAGCAAAAATCGCGAAAATCCATAGCTCACGGCATGTTGTTACCTTTGCAAATCGATAATCATAATTTTTTCAGGTGAGAAGTGATGCGTTTGCTTTCATACCGAATACTCACACTATCACTCGTAATTCTACGACTGTTAGAAAGTTTTCTCTCCTACTTCAGGAAAGAGAGAGAGAGAGAGAGAGAGAGAGAGAGAGAGAGAGAGTACGTATCTTATATTTAAGTGGTAATTTTAACTTTCGTTTCTCTTTTAATTGAGAAAGAAACATCGGTTATACGTCGTTATGAAAAATTGCTACAATCCGTTAAGTTCGTTCTAACAAGAGTTCACATTGTTGTAAGTCACAATTTTTAATCTAATAAATGTTAAATAATTATTTACAATAGGGCCCTTTACGAATTAAAAAATTTTTTTACGGCAGTTTTGGTGAAAATCTTTGTTGTGACTCCGACAATGGTAATCAATGGGAGGAGTCCGAAAAATATGTAACCTACCTATCTTTTTTTTAACTATTTTTTTTCCAACGTAACTTTTCGAAGCTTCTGGCACCCCCACGTAAATTTACGATTGTCAAAAGTTGCTGGTTTCTCACTACAACTTGAACAAGTTATTGATCTTTTAATCACGTTATGTGGTTTTAAGAATTTAAATAACTCTTCTTGATCGTCGCATATTCGCAAAAAAGATTTGAGCTTCAAAATAACCTTGGCGATCCATTGTCTAAGCACATGTATCTCTGCTTGTCTGAGGGTCTATTAAATCCTCGCCTTCCTAAATAGATAAGTCTATAATATATTGCTAATCTCTTCAGTATTCATTATTTTCAGTATATTGTAGACTCATCTATTTAACGCGAAGATTTAATACATGTATCCATTTATCATTAGAGTCACCTAGTGATGCATTTAACATTGTAATCAACACGTGATTTCAACGATAAATGAATACATGTGTTAAATCTTCGCCTTACTAAATAGATGAGTCTGCAATATACTAAAAATAATAAATACCGAAAGGATTAGCAAGATTCCTACGCAAGTTAGAACGTATCATGAATCAGAAGCGAAAGCATCGTACATGTATCGTTGCCAATAAACAGTAAACGTCAGGAACAACAAAAACGTATATTCAATTCAGTAATTATACAAACGAACCTATTTCTGATTTGAAACTAAAATTTAGTTTCGGTTAATCTGAAAATTACAATAACTCGTAAAATTTCTCAAAGACGATTGTTATGATTTTGTTTATCGCGTACTTTTCTTCACCTTCTCTCTCTCGCTCCCACTCGGCTTCGTATGTACAACAGTATGAGATATTGACTGTTCCATTTGAATAATAGAAGTATTGAATAATAGAATATATTAATCTTTTGAATAATAGAATATATTGACTTCAGTACACAAGCAAAAATACATATGCTTAAGGGATACGATATTTTATACACATGTATGATTCATACGTTGGAAAAAAATAGTTAAAAAAATAGATAGGTTACATATTTTTCGAGCTCCCCCAATTGATTGTCACTGTCGGAATAACAACAAAGACAGCGAAATTTGATATTTTTTAGACAGTCGTAAAAAATATCAAAATTCGAAAAAGGCTATTGTAAATAATTACCAAATGTTGCAACAATGAGAGGATAAGATGGGCGTGCGGAAATAACATCGACAAATAACATATAATTTTCCTCAATATGTGAGCCAATTGTAAAAATTGTGTATACATTCAGAATAAATAGAGAACAGGCCGGCATAAGTAAACGAATTTCATGTATAGTTGAAGATTAAAAATAACAAATAGATGACACGAGTAGATAACGGTGCTCTCGAGCACGTCTCGTCGATGGAAGGTTACCGTGTTAGCATCCTCGAGTATCGAGAGTAACCAGTACTTTTTATTTTCATGTCAACGCAAATTGGTGAATCTACAATTCAAACGTTCGCAAATTAAATAATAACGAAAATTTCTAAATTAGGTGATCGATAATTCTGATTTCTCTTCTGATCAATCGAAAACGAAGGATAAATAAGATTCTAATGCAAACAGATTATAAGGAGGAAACAGATTTCGCTAAACATGAATCGAAATAAATAACTCTTGAGTGAGCACAAATAAAGACAATCTCAACCAAAAATTTGCGTTGGTAAATGAAAAAAATTTATTACGATCTTCCAAAGTACACTCAAACGCTTTATCTTTTCTTAAGGCTCCTGGGTCATTACAACTGTCCTTGTTTGATAATATCCTATTTGATAACGTCAGAAGCGAAAAAACGCACGTCAAGAATTCTTGCGTTTTACTATGAGTTCAAATAAAAAGACATACAAAATGATATCTGTGATCGAATCAGTATACTTGTAAAATTGTCCGTGCATTTCATTTATTCGAACCATCAATAAACAACCGCAAAATTAATTTTACACGGAACTATTCATTTTAACCCCTTTTTTCGTTATTTTGTCAATATTAATTTTACGACTATTTATTGCTTGTTCGAGTAAAAGTGCACGAATAATTTTAAAAGTGTACTGAATCGATCACAAATGTCATTTTCAGTAAGCATATCTTTTTATTTGAACATAAAACGCAAGAATTTTTGGCATGCGTTTTCTCGCTTCTGACGTCACCAAACAAGGACAGTTGCAGCAACTACCCAGGAGAGTCTTAATGAAATTCTCGCACGATGCATATGGAAATTTCAAAAGTCAAACGGGAGAATTACGTCTCCGATAGATAATGATTTTCAATTAGTGTCTCGAGTCGACTTAGAAATAACGTTCGCTCGGGAGACTTCTACGCCGAAAGCGACTCTCGATAGTAAAACTGTCGAGTTTGCACTTCCGTTAATACTTAGGAGACAGTACAAGTGTGATGCACTCGCGGTCGTCAAAGCGGATTTACATTTTCACTGCCAGTGTCTCCCGCTTCGAGATCGGCATCGAGATCTCGCAGTCCGGCAGGCAGGTCGTTTCTCGTCGTCAAGACGCGCACGCGGCTCGTAGAGCAAGTTTGAATCGAAACAGTTTGCACGCTCGTTACATCGGCTCTATGTAAATACTTCCGGCACGAAAGTGCACTTTCCTGCAGTCGCGTTCGAGCGTACCTATGCAGGTACCTATGCACCTCTTTCGTTCAACAGACTAACGATGCAAGCTAATTCATCGTAAGAACCGATGCAGGGCGGCGAGTGGTACTTCGAGTCGAAATACGAGAGCGATATCGTGAGAAAGGAGGAAATCCTAACAAAAACATTGCATTCTGCCGACAGAGGAGAAGGCAGGAAACCCGGTAATTTGATTAAAATATTCGTTACTTTCTAATTGGCAGGAACTAATAAGAGAAACCGATTAATTGGATACCGTCGAACTCGGGAGTTGTTATATTATAACTACAAAAGTTATGCTTGCGTTTACTTTCTTAATCGTCGCGCGTCAAGTTGAAATATCGCGTTCCGTTGCAAAGTGGTGCCGTTCGATCTCTTACAAAATTATTTCTTCCACAAAGAGAGAGAAAGAGAGAAAGAGAGAGAGAGAGAGAGAGAGAGGAGGGAGGGTGGGGAACAATGTGATTTGTCGTCTATAAATTTGTCGTCAATGCTCTCAAACAAACGATGCGATGTTTTCTCTCGTGTCTCCTCTTCGAGTCGAAAACTCAGCCGGACACTCATTCGAGAGAACCGAGAATTCTCTCTCCGGGAAAATACGAAAAAGATGGCAGAAGCGTAACGTACCTCGTGAGAAAGCTGGACACTCCGCGATCGACGTCGGGAATGGACGGCACACGGCGATAATCTTCCAGGCTGCTGGACCGATCGATTCTGCGAGGTCCATCGGTGAGAGCGGAATTTAAGCTCGTCCCTTCCGTCCACGATTTACGGTGCGATTTATCTCGCGAGGAACGCCTCTTGGCTACGCGCTCGAACGCTACGTCTTCCTGGCCGCGTCTCTTGAGACCGGCTCTCGCGCGGGCCTCCGTCTCGATAGATACGGATTTGTCGCTTACTTGACCGTTCTGGCGGGACCCGCTCGAGTTCGACGAAGACTCGAAGGAGGCCAGATTGTCCGTCGGTTGAACGACACCACCATCGTTCGCGACGTCTTTCCTGCCGTCCGCGCAGCGACTTCCAGCCGCTTGTTCGTTCGATATTCTGGATGACGACTCGAAGGTGTAACGTATCACATCCTTCTCGGTGAGGGTACGCGCCGAGGATGCGGCACGGTCGATCTCATTTCTCGGCCGGGCGCCGGCTCCCGCTTGATCCTCGTTGTCGTCGTGCTCGGTGAGGAAGTTGAAAGCGTTGCTTATCTCTCGTGTCTCGTACGTCTCGTCCTCGTGTCTCGAAATTCTCCTCTTCTCGTTATCCGAGGACGCGTGGTCCACCGTGTCCTGCTGCATCTCCTCATTGATACCCGAACAGGTTTTGCGTATCACCGGCTCCAAGTTCCGAGTAATGTCGCGAACTCGCTTGATCGTGTCCGACGAGACGACGTCGATTCTCTTGCGGATCGGCACTACTTGATCGTGGCCCAGGGTCACCAAGATATCTCCCTTGTCGCCGCCCTCGAGCACTCGCTCCTGCCGCTTGGTGAGCGAGAGCTTTTGCTCCAATTTCGGCGGGCACACGTCGAGCAGGTGTTCTTGTTCCTCGGGCGTCGACGGGTCGTCCACGGTGACGCGCGGCACGCACGCATCGTTCCCAAGATCGATCAGATCGCCGTCTTCGTTAGACGCCATTTTGCGACGACTCGCGCCTGCAATGATAGAAAAGAAATACTTTTATCCGTCGACGTTAAACGATCCAAGAAATTTCCGATCGGCACGTCCGTAGCGATCGCTATCGACTAACGCGAATCTCGCGAATCTCACGAATTTCCCTAATGTGCTCATGTTACTCTATTATCTTCTCCTTGTTTTCTTATTAAAAGGTACCCTCCCATTAGTAAATAATAAATTATTATTATGTATTATCTTCCGAATGTAGATTTTTTTCGTACACGTCCTATCAATGACTCACCGTTACGAATATATCGTAGGAACTCGCGAAAGAATACGCTCGCCATGACGCAGAGATTTGCAACACGTCACATTAACGGTACAAAATCGTTGATAACGGAATAAAAACGGCGTTATCGTTTGTGAATTCGACCGCGACTGAAGCGCGATCCAAAGAAGTGTATGTGACGCGACGTTCCATCGTAAGTGGTCGTAATTATCCGCGGCAATTAACAACGAAACGCTAAGCGAACGATTTGCGATGCGTCGAATGTATCAGCGATGATCAATGATGGCGATCAATTGTCATTTTATATAACTCTACGCGACAGCGTTCAATCATCGTGTGGTTAAGATTACGGTTACCACCAGAATAAAATAGAAAAACTTTTTAGAAAAATGAGAATATTACGTGAAACGTGCGATTTCTTTTCCTTACCAAAGAATGAAATTAGTGGAAAAGTCGAAGAATTTTGCTGATTAAAAAATTTATTCTAATCGTTCCAGTGGATAAATTGCTTTGGACTCGACAAAAGCTGTTAAATTCAAAGAAGTATTTTTCTCCGTTTATAGATATCCTTTCGCTAAATTGCAGTTGATGTTACTTTAACAAAAAGAAAGATCGAGCAAACATTAACGCAATACTAGAGGAAGAAGAGAAGTTTACTTAAGTTTTTAAATTTAAGCATTCTACAGCCTCATTGAGAAAAACTCGCCACGAAATCGGCGAGTGACGCGAATAAAATGCTACATTGCGCGCCAACGAGGCGCGGATATTGTGCAATCGGTGCTTTCACGACGTTAATTAAGTAGCATATCCTCGCGAGATCGAGATCTCCGAAATCAGTGTTGCCACGTCCAAGGATGTATCCCTAAATCCGAGATTTCGAGAAAATTCCGCGATATATAGGGATTTCAAACAAGAATTTCTTTTCTGCTGCAAATTAATGGAAAATAAACTTTAATTTTTCTGAAAAACAGACAAATTGTTCTTGTTGTTGTTTTTTTATATTTTATTATCGTTATGTGGAAGTAGAACACACTTCAATTCTGCTTAACACACACGTATTAATCCCCGTTTCTATCAACTTTGATTAACATAAACGACTAGTTATTTTATGCTGGTGTTCAGTTTTAACATACATTTTTTTTTTCACTATTTAATATATATTTTATAATTATAGTGTATTTTCTTTCTTGTTTTTTCTTCTAATTATTATTAATACTAGTAAAAGTTTACTAGTTAATTCGTAATTGTACCAACAAACATTTTTATTTACAATGAATTATCTATGAATTACGAAAAAAGTATTAATAAAGACATGGAAATAGACAATGGCTATTTAAGAGCCATTTTCACCAACTTCGGTTAAGTTTAAACGACGGTTAAGTATCAATCATGATCGGTCAATTCTGCTTAACGATAAATGCGATTAATCGATTCCAAAATATTCAACCGTCAGTTAACTTAACCGGAATTGATGAAAGTGATGCGTTAGAGTTAAATTTCGAAAATCGAGGGACTTTTTACCTGATGAGGGATAAAATATAGGGATTTCTATTTTTTTCATGTGGTAATACTGTCCGAAATCAACACTCGTCAACAGCGCATCATATATGTAACACACTTCTGAGTCATCACTGTCAGCTCATTGTCGCGATGATCAATGAAGGGAATGAAGGGAGACAACCGCACCGTAAATCGCGCGGTTCGTTGAACTTTTAATCACGCTGTGCACGATGGAGAGAGCGAGAACGACCGCACGCCTGACGCACTCCGCTGAACTGTATTCATGGCGTGAGTGACGTGTATAGGGTGTGTCAAAGGTCACACGTTTTCTCTCAATTAAATATTTTCGAGCGAAAATCTTCAGTCGTAAGTGAAAATTTCGTAATAATTTAAAGGGCTGGAAGGGCACCGAGAGAAAGTGATTAAAAAATTCCACTATGATAAAAATACAATTTTTAAATTTCGTTTATATTTCATATTTAAACAATATTTATATTAATCTTAATGGTTGCACGAGACATTTAAATAAAAATTATATGTGAAGTTTAAGAAAATTTATATGTTGCATATGTTGAATGGATCGGTCGTAATAGTTCGTCAATTATTAACATTTTCACACAAAAATGCGCTTAATGACTTTTTCTTTATATATAAGACGGGTGATATAAAATCGGTTTTCCCCAATTGAAGCTCGAGACATTAATTTACATCCTTAATCCTAAGTTAAGATTAATTTAATGAGCTATTTTTTTCAATTAATTCTTAACGAAATTTTTTCAATTAATTCTTAACGAAAATTAAGATGCTTTATCCATTTAATAAAAATATTTTCTAATTAAACTTCCAATTAAAACACTGGTAAACTCCGTGTTCACACGAATAAATAAGGATAAAAACCAAAAATGATGCAAAGAGTGAAACCTCGTCACCAATTAAATGGAATTAGAAAGCATCCTTCTCTCTCTCTCTCTCTCTCTTTCTTCTTTTCTCTCTCCTCTACCTCTCTCTTTCCTTCTTCCTCTTTCGCTCCCACTCACACACATGCATACACACACGCACGCGTGCGCGCGTATACACAGACAACACATATTGAGATCTTGTGATCTTTAATAGCTAATAAATCATGGACCATCGTTATGGCATCACTTCTATTGCCTATAGTGTAGGAAAAGTAGGTTATATTGGTACCACCCTGTATATTGTTTTATTGCAGCGCATCGCGGACTGGCGCTCCCACGTCTCGAGAATACACTTACGTCGCTTCCTAGTACACTTTTTCCGCATCCTTGTACATCTTGTACTTTTCACTTACTATTATTCCTTTGTATTTTAATTTAAGAGATACCTTTGGAATGTTTCATTCATCATCCTGTAAATATCGTGTTTGAGCGTGTAACTATCTTCTATAAATGTTAAAGACTTCTATAAATGTTAAAGTCTTCTACTTCTTCTATAAATGTTAAAGACTTCCAATAATTCATCTATCTTAAAAACCAGTTTTACGTAAAAATATATATCTATGTCCTTTCGCTAAAAATCCGTCAATTTAACGTAAAAGCATTTTTTCATAGGAAACATCCGGGAAAAAAACGAAAAGCCAGGAAATTGTTAAGACCGATAATTGCGCATTTTATAACTCGATTTGACAGTCTCGTCAAATTTTTTGCTTTGCTTTACGCGAAGTCGCACTTTACAAATAGCTGGACATACAATCGTCGACATTAACACAAATTTCAAGTAGAAAATAGAAAAACGAAGTCTGAGAGAGTATACACGGTCTAGATGATTTTTCATCACGAATAAAGACACGAAGTGTTCCTTCGCTTCGCTTTAAAAATGCGACGCCTATGTCATCGGACTACGCCGATGAGTCGTAATTATAGTTTCGTTACAATGCATCATAACTAATTAGCGTGTGACATCGCAATGACAGATGATGTGGACGCTTTAATAATTTTTCGAATGGGGGTAATAATAAAGGACGTTTAAAAAAAATTGAATAGCGCCATGTATAGGCGCTGAATTGAATTTATATGTCAGCTGTTCAGATGTCCTGTTCGTTTATTAGAATTGTATATGGGCCACTGTGGTGAATTATATTGGCTTTATGATCGAATACTTTGCATTTTCTTATCGAGTACATCGATATATTTGTATCATATTGATGATGAAAGCTACGATTCGCTGTGCTACAACTTGTTCGATATAGAATTATATACCATTTTTATTAAGATCCAAGAATAATAGTCCTTTTTGACAAACTTATCTCTATTATACAGAAAAAATTTTGATTTTCGTGTTACGGAATGTTGATAAAATTAACGAAAACTCAGTGACAAGGATAACATAGTTTTGTTATCGTGACTAAGAATATTCTTCTGAATATTTACTCACCTTAAAACTCGGTTGAAATACGTGAGCGTAATTGAGATTAAATTGAGAACTTTATATAGGAATGTTCTCATCCCTACAAACGAGTTTTCGTCTAAGCAACAGGAATTCAGGTATACGACTTTCGGGTGGAGCATTCTAGAATGCTCGAAAGTCGTTAAAGTGCTTACTCATCTCTCAACGAGTCGCAGGACGATTCAATCTCGACCAGCAGCAAGAACACGAAAAGGCGCTCGTAGACAAAGCAGTCGATGTAGCAGTTTTAACAGAACTACGGAAACTGTTGTCTGATGCAGCCTCCGCATTGGAGCAAATACTTAGTTTCGGTACATCGAGCAAATAGCGCGCACAGCCAGATCACGGCCGCAAACGACAGACATGTGCAACAGCGAAATGATTAATAATGTATCACCTATTAAACTCTTAACTTTGCATACGTTTCTTTCGACAAATGATCATAATGATCGATTATTACAACGAGATCATGGACTAGATAACAACTCAACCGGCGAGTTCTCATGAGATGATGAATAATCACCGATGAAATTCAAGAAGAAAAGATCTCTGCACATCGGAGATTAACAAAACGTAATTAAAAACGATGGGATAAGAACAAGGAAAAAATATACACGTAAAGCAGACAGGGCAGCAAAATGACATATTTTTTACGCTCTACGGAATTTTGTACCTATTTTTAACATAACTTTAAATTACAGTTCTTCAGCGACAGAAAAAATATGGACTGAAAAGTTAAAAAATAAATTTATAAAAGAAATCTGTTTTACTTTGGAAAATGTCTGGCGAGCTAACTCGCCCTGTTAACGGGATACAATGGCACAATATATGGAATAAATTGCCTACAACGAGAAAAATGTGATTTGATTCAATTAAATGTTGATGTGTTACGATTTACCATAAATATATAAAGCTTCAATTTTATCTTTACTGTATCATATATCTCAGACTATAAAATGATGATATAAAGTATTTATTTAATTAATAATATTATTGTGAAATAACAAAATTCACCCAACTTAGATTAGACCATTCTAAACAAAAAAGTTCTTTACCAATTTTTGAGTAATTAAAGTTTCCTATTAATTAAAAAACTCCCTATACATGACCATTTTCAATCATTGATAACTCGAAACTTTGCGTGTTAATTGCAAAATGGTACAGGACTTTTCTGCTCAGTTTTACTCGTTCTACTTGCATACTACGAGAACCAAGATTAGTTTGGGACACCCTGTATGTTCTATATATATATATATATATATATATATATATATATATGTGTGTGTATATATAATATGTGTAAAATATCGGAATAAAATAAATTGGCTTTTTCAAAGCACTTTTTCAAATAGGTAATTTAAATGTAACAAATTATTAAATTTAAACACTAACAACATCGATTCTGACTTTCTCTCTGTGGAAAAAGAATCGACATATCGGGATTAACAAAATAGAATGTCTATCGTCCGAATGGTTCTCTAAAGATGTCGCCCGCCGTTTGATTGTCCGCCGAGAGGCCTTCACGATCATTGATACAGACCTCGAAGGTCAACCACTCTCCAGCGCCTGTGCTGGCGCGTCAAGTTATCGAAATCGCGCACAAATGCAGTTCAAAAAATCCGATTCTGTGCAAATAAGTCGCTTCTTCTCCCCCCCCCCTTCCCTTTGCAGTGAAAAAGTTAGAAAAAAAGGAAAGAGATACGTATCAATAGCCCGCAGCTTTCTTGATACGCGAAATCCTTCCGATATTTCCGTCGCAATCGTAAAAAATGCAAAGCTTTAAAATGGAAAATGAAACGCAGTGGTATAGATCAAAGCGGACGTTGCGAAAATGGTTTTCGCAAAAGTAATACAAACGACATACGGTTTACACTGTTCTCAGTCTCGATGTATTTTTCCGATTTACCAACAGTCCTACTTCGGCAAGAATGATTAATCCACAATAGATGTAGTAAACTTTTAGCCTATTGCTCTGAGCAGTAAATTGTAATGTAATTTGTAGCAAAAAACGTTTCCAGCACTACCAGACGTCGCAGTTCCCGCAAGATTTAAGCGTTATTAAGCAACTTTTGATAGCGCGCGAAAACGCCTCCTGTCAGAAATGTTAATGTAAATTTTATTACTCAGAGAGCAAAAAGCTACGCCCATCATGGGGATCCGAACTTATTATTCTTTTTTTATTCATTCACGAACAAGAGTCGCACGCATCGTAATTCTTCGTGAGATTTCTAATAAATTCAACGAAAAGCACATTCCTGAAATTAAACGAAAAACCCTCTTCTCAACCTATTGTGGCCCTACATGGGTATTTCGAATCCGGACTGTTTCTATTCCTCGAAATTTCTCAACACGTTGAAGGGCCCCGTAATATACTACATTTTTGTTTCTCGCACAATGAAGTACAGATATTTCTTCTAGAAACTTAAAAATATATCCGTGAATTTTTACAGGTTTTTCGAAGCATTTTAAAGACATAAAAAAAAGGGCTGGACTGGAAATACCCATGTAGGGCCGCATGCAGTGCCGTTTTTCGCATGAGTCACTAAGACTGAAACATCGTGCACACTAGATCGAGTAAATTGGCGAATTTCAACGCGGATACGACACAGATACCGCGCGGTGCATGCACTGTACGCGCCGACAGGAAAATGTCCTATCGCATAAAGCTAGCGCCACAATTTATCACCGTGACCCGCAATATTCTGTATCGCGAAACGCTAAAAGCAACGCAAATAGGGACGGTCAAACAACCGATACGCGCCACTATCTAACCTTCGGCCGATCGCGAGTGTTCTTTCCCTCGCCGTCTTTCTCGCGTACTATTTATACACGTACGTACCTTCGTGTCACACCGGAACGCCAAAGGTGTCCCGCTCCGGTGTGCGGGAAATCCGCGTAGCAACGCCGGAGGAGCCGGCCGATATTCAAGAGCGAAATAACGTACAACTTCGACGATGTTGTTCGTCCGATTCTTCGTTGAATCGCGCGACGAACGAACGAACGAATGTGCGCGCGCTCGCCCGAACCGATGCATAACAATGCGTTTAAATCACGGTTATTCCACTCGTGTACAACCTTGTTCGAACTACAATAATGTAAAAAGGTGCCACGATACGCAACATATATATATATATATATATATATATATACATACGTGTTCTCTCTCCCTCTCTCTCTCTTTCGCTGTCATATCCATAGCACTTTATATGTTCCCTTACCTTCTTCTCTCCACTCCTCTTTTTTTCCTTTTGTTGGACTCTGCCTTCGCCTCCTCCCGAGACCGCTTTCGAAATCCTGTTCGCCGACGTGGCCCCTCTTCCTCCCCTCCAACCCTCCTCTCCGTGACTCCTCGTATCTCTCTCGCGTAGCGAAGATTCCTCCTCGGGATATTCCTTCTTCCTTCTCTCTTTCTTTCCTCCGTCACAGGTCGCCCCGGAGCGTCCGCGCCGGCCGGCGCGTACCGTTCGACGACCGCCTAAAAATATTGCCACCCGGATCGCTCGCTTCGACGACGCGCTCTACCTGCGACTTATCTCGTCGATCGCATCACGCGCTCGTCAATCGTCGTTAACTGCGGGACGATTTTGCGGATTCAACGTCGTCGCAATGCACCGGTGGACGCGATCTTTCGTCGCGCAGTCCGCTCCGGATTCCTCAATGGCATACCTGCCGCCAGGTGTGCGAACACCGACGACGACACCCGCGAATGCCGCGCGAAAACTCGATCGCACGTACGTGTGCGCATACGCTCATTGATCTCGCGGCTTCGCACCTTCTTCCGCGCCCTCGCGTTTACCTCGATCTCCAGCAGTCACCTGGATTAACGGGCGGCGTGACTCATCGTAGGCGGCACAGCTCAATTTGGCTCGCGACAAAGCGTTTTGGATCGTTCAGCGGACATGATAAATCCTGTTTCGAGTCGCGTCGAGAATCGAAGCGCGCGCGGATCGATCGAGCGCGGATCGACAAGGCGCGACGAGAGTTTCACACGACACTGGATTGTCGCGCGGCCAACTTCGCGATGTGTCTCGCATGAAAGATTCTTCTCCGAGGAGAAGCCACCTACAACACGGCGCTTTCTTTCTCGTAGGTAATCGAAACGTATCTACGCGCGGAGAGGCGAGAGTTCGACGTACTCGCGTGGACGCACTCGCGAGAGATGCACGTCCCCTTCGCCGAAGATTCCGTTTTGAAAGACGTGATCGCTAGCGTCTTTCTTTCTTTCTCTCTCTCTATCTCGCCCGTTCTCTCCTTCCCACTCACGTGTTCCGTTCAACCCTCTCCCTCCCCGCTCTCATCTCTCTTTCTCTTTCGCTCCCCTTCGCTTCTCGTCCGTCAAGTTTTCTTTACACACTTTGCTCTCTCTCTCTCTCTCTCTATCTCTCTCTTTTTCTTCTAGGACTCACCGCCCGTCCCGATTCTTTCTAGCTCGTCTCTTCTGGCCCGACAATTATTTCTTCCTTCCGAATCGACGCACCGAAAGAGTAATGCCACGTAACCGTTCTATAACGAGAGCCTCGGTAGTCGACGGTAGCCGCGTAAGGCACGCACTGAAGAGGAACGAGCGCCGACGAGCGCAGACTACGAGAGTTCTCCGTACGTTCACCAATTCACCGCCGCGATCCACGCACTCACCCATCCACCCACTCACACGCACGCGAGCGCGCGCATATACATGTACGCGTGCGCGAGGCGATGGGGGAGAAAAAGAGCGAAACGAAGCCGGTTCCCTATAGAGAAAGGGCGATCGTCGAGAGCAGGAGAGAGAGAGAGAGAGAGAGAGACACGACTGGCGAAGAGGACGAAGAGAGAGGAATGAGAGACGAAGAAAAAGAGGTAAAGCGAACGCGTGCCGAGGCGCAGATCGCAAGATTACTCCGACAAACCCGCGTTGACCCGCGTGACACTTACTGCAAATAGCGAGAGATTCAGAGAACGAGTAAGTGCTTGTATCTTTCTTTCCGAGCTTGATATTCTTCTACCTAAGAAGACTACGCGGTACATATTTGAGCCCGGAGTTGGTGGAAAATTTTTCCAGACCAGAGCAGAAAGAGAGAGAGAGAGAGAGAGAAAAGAGGGAGAAAGAGAAACAAAGAAAGGTGGATCTTGTCGGTGCAAGTTTGAAGAGTCCGATGACTGTTATTCGCGGCAAATCGAGTTCCTGAAATCTTCATCTTACGCATCGCTGTGACGCTAAGTTAGAATCGTAGAGATACGTCGTATCTCTGTTGTTCTGCTTTCTGGCTTTCTCTCTCGCTCGCTTCTTTCCTCGGAAAAGAGACGAGAAGAGAATGACGAGGCAAGTGCGGAAGAAGAGGGTACAAAGGCGGACACAGTAACATTGGGACTAGTCGAATTGCCGTCCGATTGTAGGCGTTATTGGACTTTACGGTTCAGGTGCAACTGTTCGATCGCGCATTCGAATTCAAACGGGGATTTCAAATTTTGTAAAGTGAAATATCCTATCGAGTATTCGGAAACTTCATTCTGGGGTGCGTTCCGAAATTCAACCTTGGCCAACCTCGGAGGTTCTAGGAGTGGAAGGGATATAAATTACCTGAGATAGGAGTTTTTTGGAATGAATTCGGTAGTGGCCAATTATGGCGGTAGGAAAGATATAAATAATTGTACTCAGAGCATTTGCTGCAAGTAGACATTCATTAAGGTGTCGTTACGAACGTGGAAAGTGATAGCGATAGTGGGAATGAAGAAGAATTTGCAGTAACTCATGAATTTAGAAAGAATTACGAAAATTCGTAGCAAAGTGGGAAAAGCAGTTCGTATCGAAGATTATGCGAAAAATATAATACTAAAGCTTGCCGGAAAATAATTCAAGGAATATTTTAGAATGAATTCCACAGTTTTTGATCATTAGAGAATAAATTAGGCAGTCAATAGTCAATAAATTTCACTGCAATATTTCACCTACTTATTTAATGTTAATTTGTTTACGTGTGTGTAAATTGTTTACTATTCTTATTGTTCCAGATCCGGGATTAAAATTTGATAATGGTACTTCAGACAATATTCCACCTTAAAAATAAATACATAAATAAAAGAAATTTAAAAATTTAGAGATAATTTCTCCTTCTTAATTTGTAATCTGTATCAATGAAATACTTACTAATTTGATCCGTTACTAAAATTCCCCTATTCTCACCTCTTGTAATATTTGATTGTCATTAAGTATTAAGCATTATGATGTCGTCCCTTCAAAGGACAAATATTATTCGCCATGATGTCACATATAAGTGTAAGCAATTAAGTCCAGTATAAATGTATAATAATACATTATATAAATCCAATTCGTACATATTTTTATTGCGCTTTTTATGGCATAATTATCACAACCTTTCAATTTTGTGAGGTCAAAAAGTTACCCTCATGGATAACTATGTGTTTTGGAACGACCACCAGAAGTGGAAAGGATATAAATTACCTGAGATAGGAGGTGTTACCATTGGTTAACCAACCAGCTATATTGATAATTCGGGACGGGTACCTAAGATAATCGTAGTAATCAAGATTGAATTTTAGAACGCATCCCTGAGGGTTGAGCAGAATAAATGGTGGTGGAGGCAGGGTAGACTTAGGTTGCAAATAGTTTTCGAACGATATAACTGCGTAAATCACAATTTATCACTCACTTATCATGTCAAGTAAAGATCCTCACAATAGTAAATCGGTTGATTATTTTCCTCGATATATAATTGATGTTTTCCGTGAATTAATTTTACCGATTCCATTGTTGCAAATTAATAGCCGTTTTCTAGCTGATTCGATTTGATGTCGCTATAAATGCATTCTAAAATGTGTTAATAGACTAGGTATATATAACTTATGTAACATGAATTATAAATTTATATTGTCAACGCATTTCGAAACGTATTTAAAAAGATCCGAGTCGGACCGAGTCGATAAATCGAAAACGCTTTATAAAATTCCCCGTCAAATGCAACGAGTTACCCGAACCCACCCTGAAATTTCAAGGTGGAAAATTTTTCTCCCGGGGTACGCAACTGAGTTTCCGAACGACATTACCGTCGTCACTTTGATCACCCGAACGTTTCCAAACGATTCCATAAGTGCACCCGGGTGAAGTTTCCGAACCTTAGTCAGGGAATGAACTGTCTTACCTTTAGTCGAGTAAAAGCATTTATCATCATATAATACAAAATACCGTTACAGAACGTTTTTCTTTATATATAGCAAACTTATACATATACACATAAATAAATCTTAAGGCCCTTGGTCCTTCATTGCAATTGTCCTTGTTCGATGACGTTATAACAAAAATCATGAGAAAAGATAAGTTAAAAACTCAAATTACATGGACACTAATTTTCGGCTATTTATTGATTATTGGGATTACAGGAAAGCGTCCGGGTATTTTTATGAATATGCCAGATCGATCACGAGTGTCATTGTATGTCATATATTCTTTTGTTTCTATATATACTGTAATATAGTTTGGCATATCGTTTCTCGCTGCTGATATCATTAAAGAAAGACAACTATAGTAAGGGCCTGTATTCTGTAACTGTTAATGATAATTAACGTCGTTATCGTTACGTCATCGTTGCGCAGGTATAACAGTATAGCAGAAAAGCTGCACAAAGACACGTAACGATAATGACATGTCGTTAAAACTTACAGAATCGGGTTACAAGAGCCTTAAAAATACAATGAAAATATCATATATTCGAAAGCGTGCAACTTGCGAAGTACGTTCTCTATGATATATAATATTTAATTGATAAATCGATAGTAGTGCAAACTTCTCTCTCTCTCTCTCTCTCTTTCTTTTAACTTCTTGCATCTTTTTCTAACGCCAATTTATCGAGTCTCTTTTCTAACAAATCGGCGTCTAATCGGTGTTTGCATAAATATTGACCTTCTAGAAAAAGGACTGGTATATCGTACCTGTACAAATCATAATACCGCTCGTTTCCTTGCGCGGTAATGTTGACTTCTTCTAAGTTATAACGGCCGCCGAAACGCAAATGTAATTCATTCTTTAGAATGTCGCAGAGTGGACACGGTTTCTTTGTATATAATGTTAATTTTGGCAAGCAAGATACCGGATGATACCTAGAAATTATATAATAATCCTTTCCTACTGAGAAATTTTTCCGTCATATTTATATCGAAGTTAAAAGGTCAATAAAATCGATCGAACTGCCAATGTACAAATATTTATTTCTATAATATAATCAAGTCTCTATATGTAAATATATATATACACCCTAATGTATATATATAGGGTGTCTCAATTCCACGGGGACAAATTTCATGAGAACGTAGAACGGCCTGAGATGAACCAAAAAGTCACCTACCATTTTGCAAATACGCAAAATTTCAAGTTATTAATTATTGAAAATAGCCATGTATGGAGGTTCCTTTAATTAATAACTTAAAAATTTGTGTTTATTTATTTGCAAAATAATAAAAGAACTTTTATATTCACCTTAATTCATTCTACACTGTCATGAAGTTTGTCTCCATGGTTCTAAGACACCCTATATGTACATATATGTATGTTAAAAAATATAGAAAAATCGTACAATTTATACATAGAATAAGATCAAATATATAAAATGTTTGTATACATGTACATATCTGCTTAAAAAATATAACAACATTTCATAACATAGAAATAACTCGTATTTTTCCATACACTCCGTCAATATTACTTCGGCGCTCAAATATCCCGATAAATATTCTAACTTGAGCGAACCATTGGACGCTAAGTTTCAGTTTATAAAACGGCGTAGCTGTGTGATTACACTATTTACGAACTTACAATTTCTCAATTAGGATCGATGACGCACCGCCACCACCGTTACAAATCGATGCAACACCCTTCTCACCAGCTTTGAGAGTATGGACCAAGTGTGTTACAATACGTGCGCCTGACATGCTACAAGATATTAATCTTTATAAGATATTAATATTTATTATTAACATAATCAACAGTTTATAATATACCCATATGTACACAGAAAAAAAAAACAGTACTGCAATATATTATGATGTCCAAAATAATATATTGTATTCAAATCAACCTACCCTATAGGATGTCCGAGTGAAACAGCTCCACCGTGAACGTTTATCTTGGCAGGATCGATATCGAGTAATTTCTGATTTGCTACAACTACCACACTGAATGCTTCGTTGATTTCCCAAAGAGCGATATCGTTTTTATTAACTCCGGCGTTCTCAAGTAGCTAAGATTGATACACAAATTGAGTTATTAAGTTATTATCATGCTCCATCCCTAATTTAAATAACACTTTACCGATACACAACTCACCGATGGCACTGCAAGAGCTGGTGCAATTGGGAAATCTATAGGATCTGTTGCCGCGTCTTGGAAAGCGACAATTCTGGCCAAGGGTTTAAGATTCAGTCTCTGGGCAACTTCGCTGGTCGTCAAAACTAACGCAGCAGCACCGTCGTTTAAAGTGGATGCATTTCCAGCAGTAACTGTGCCATTATCTTTCTGTACGTGCATATATAAGGGAAATACGAAACTTTAGCAAGATATCGATAAGCTACTTGTGTTGCTGTTTTAAAAGGTAAAATATTCTCTCGTACCTGGAAAACAGTGTTCAATTTGGAAAATTTCTCAAAGTTGACCTTTTTATATTCCTCGTCTTCGCTGAATATCACATCTGGTTTACCCTTCTTCTGAGGCACGCTTACGGGTATCAATTCATCTTTAAACGCGTTAGTTTCGTAAGCTGCCGCACTACGTTTGTAACTACTAATAGCGTATTCGTCCTGTTGTTGGCGAGAGATATTTAACTTTTTAGCCGTGCTCTCAGCACAATTACCCATGTGGCATTTATTGTAGACATCGGTTAATCCGTCGAATACAATACCATCCTGTAAGATGATAATATTATGATAGAAGTTGCTTATATATTTCACCAATCACAAATATATCTTTATATATACATAAATTAAAGCAATAAGACTAGATATTTGAGGTGGACAAAATTATTGCCCCACCTTGTGTATGATCAATTAAACTAATGCAAGATAAATAACAGATGCATGATTTAACCTCGAGTTTCAATCCACCATATGATGTTTCGCCACGGGATAAGTAATATGGTACATTGGACATGGATTCCATACCACCAGCTAAAACGATTTCTTGATGACCACATTGCAGAGACTGAGCAGCCAGCATAACACTTTTCATGCCACTTGCACAGACTTTATTTACTGTAGTACATATTGTTGATTTTGGAAGACCTAATATACAGTACATAAAGTGACTTTAGAAACTCTAATAAATTACAGTTTCATATATTTGACAATTTATATTAAATGGAAACGTCAACCATCAAAGAAAATATATATTTCGCAGACCTGCGAATAACGTAGCCTGTCTTGCCGGTGCTTGACCTAGGAAACCTTGACAAACATTGCCCATATATACTTCTTTGACTTGTTCTTTAGCAACATTGGCTCTTTCAATAGCTGCCTAAAAAAGCGATGTGATACTTAACAAATTGTGACATTATCATGTCGATTAATATATGAAAATTCTTACTTGCACTGCTACGGCGCCAAGTTTTGTTGCTGAAATTTTTGACAATGAGCCAAGGAATGAGCCCATCGGAGTACGTACAGCGCTGATTACAACAACATCGTTTAATTTTACTTTGGAACTGTACATACGTGTGCTAATAAAATTCATCTGGAAAAAATTACATTTTGATTAAATTACCCGGATAGTTTTACTATAACATTTGTAATACCAACAAGTCTGTTATAAAAATATACAATATAAAACATCAAGCTAAAATATACAGCTGCATAACACACTTTTAGTCAAATATTTTAAAAAAGCAAAATATATATAAGGTCTGTTCGTTTTCGCTGCACCACTGAACTAGTGCAATAAGTTGAAGCGAGACAAGTATATGTTTTCTCACGCAATACATATGTCTAAAGAACATCTTTATGATATCTTAGGATGTCTTGATATTACCTAGCTGTAATTCATAATGGCATAGATTTTGATTAAGATTTATTTCACGTTCCAAACACTTTGAAGAACTTACAAAAGAAAGTACATGGTTGGTCCATATGGTGTTTCAAAGCGTTTGCAGCGTGAAACCCTAACCTTTATCGTACTATAAAACAGTTCAGAAATTCTCAGCTGTATAATTTATTCTATATAAATATATGATTTAAAATAATCATATATACGCGTTAGTAAGGTGCAATTATAATAATTAATAAATAATAACTTACTTTTGCTAATCTCGTTATAGTCGTCATTGTGAGATGACTGTGAGAAAAAAAACGTACTACTGTCGCTCCACCGTGTACGATGCACTAGCGCGAGATAGCATGTGACGTACATGGATCGACCTTCAATTTCACCGCACACGCGACACTTATAAATATGTTAATCATCTAGAAACTCTTGTTTTCATTTCAGCAGGATTTAAATTAGTTTTTCCTCGAAAAGACCACACCTCTATTATACATCTATTTCCTGTTTTTCAAGAATAATAATCAATTTGTATTCGGAATTCTTGCACCGGAAAGAATATTAGAAAGAATATTCAAATATTGATTCTTCCGACTGTGTTGTAATATTTTCGCTATTACAATAAATAAAATCGCCAATCGAATTGGATGGGTCAAATAATTTTTATAACAAACTTTGTTCTATTCAAATAATTTTTATAACCAACTTTATATTAGGTAATTCGCGGGCAGGATAGGTTAAGTATGGCTCAAGATACAGATATATTTTAATATATGCATCGTATACTAAGCTGAATAATTATCACGTTATTTTTCAAGAAAATACATTATTTTATATATATTCATTCTTTATTTTATACATTCAAATCATATGCATTCTTTAGTAGAGTTTTTGCGATAACGTCTCTCAGATATGATAACTGCTAAAGTGCTTTCCGGTGCCAGCAGATCTACTGTTTTGTGTTATCTATAGATTTCAAATGTAGGCAATAACTACGTTTGCATGCCAACGTTAATCCGGTTTAATAAAAACCGTGTTTAAAGCCCGTATCAGACTATCGATTGGGGATTGTGATTGAATGGGATTTGGCTAATCAGCGCAAAGTTAACTAAATTTTAATTTAATGAAATTTAGTGAACTTTACACTGATTGGTCAATTTTCAATTCAATCTCAATCTCTAATCTGTAATCTGATACGGGCTTTATGATCTCAATTCAGACCTGCTGTAACTTCATTGGTCGATTTCCAATTCATATTTTGATACGGACTTTAGTGCTATTACCGCTCAACGAGTTCCATCATTTGCCATGTTTGATGCTGGCGGCGCTGTAGATGTTGACAGCTGTCCAGAGTCATCGCTAGTGATCCATACTGAAGGTGTGCCGAGTGTGTTTTTTCTGATAGGTAGTTGCATTACCGCATACACCTTGGTACGCTGCGCATATCCTTGCGTATAAAATCACCTGATAATTATCAAAGCGTAATCGATCGAAGAAAAACAGGAATTCCCGGTATCGAGGTGATACGCGATATTACGATACGCGTAGCCATCCTATCACGACAGGTCTAACCTAATTGTTACCAGAATAAATTAACCAGAATGAATTAACGTAGCCGTGTCTTGGCGTGTCGTGCTTTGTGTGCAATCAAGAGTTTATCGAGTTCATTCCGTGGACATCCGATATCAGTGCGAAGTATCTGAACTCGCATAAAATGAACATCGAGGAGAACAGGCTGAAGACGTTCGAGGAATGGCCAGCAAACGCCGCGGTCGATGCGGCGCGAATCGCAAAAGCGGGCTTTTATTATACCGGACAGGGTTTAGAGGTGCAATGTTTCTTGTGCGGTACGACAATAACCGATTGGAACTACGGCGACCAGGCTATGGCGCGTCATCGACTGGCACAGCCCGCTTGTCCTTTCGTCGTTAACCCGGTCGATACCTGTAATATACCGTTGGTACCGGCGTCAGCCAGCGACGTGACGGTACCGTCAGTAACATCATCGTCGCCAGTCACACGGCATTCCAACGTTGTCAAGGGTAAACCAGGTGAAGTACAACGGGATATCGTTGTGCAGAGTACAAATTCTTTGAGAGATTATGGTACCACTTCGCAAAGATTACGATCGTTCGTCCATTGGCCCATACCTTCCGTCGTTTCCCCGGAGCAATTGGCTAAATCAGGTTTTTACTACCTTCAGTATAGCGACCTGGTGAGGAAAAAGTTGTAACACATGCTGTCAATATTATTCTAAATCTATCGGGCGTACATTGAGTGCTTCCTTTCAGCTACAAATATATTCTGTTGTGCACTCCGAGGCTTGTAAACATATTAATTAGAAGATAGGGTGTATCTTTGTCCACAAAATTATTACTTCATTTTCATGTATCATTTTATACAAATAACAGGTAGAGTGTGTATATTGCGGAGGCATTTTGACGAAATGGGAAGCTGGCGATGATCCAGATAGTGAACACAGATTACATTTTCCAAATTGTGATTTCTATATGAGATATGAAACAGAAGATGGTACATTACCATATTATATTATCAGATTATTATTATATTATACATTATTATTTTAACATTATCACATTATTATTATATTATACATTACTAGATTAATACTTTTATATTAATATATTTATATGTATACTTTACTTTTAGTTTTGAACTTTAGTTTCATTTAATTTCGTTTTATTACTATGTTTTTACTAATAGTATATTTATATGTTTGATGTACTTATTCGCCATTTTTTTAATTCTTTCAACAGAGGCATTAGAATTAGCCAATGTTACTTTAGTGTCTGGCGCAACAACAGGCATGACAGATTTAGGAATACAAGTACATACAGCACCTAGCAATCCAAAGAATACAACATACGAAGACAGATTACGAACTTTTGTAGGATGGCCTACAGATCATAAACAAACACCGGAAATGTTGTCCGCTTCTGGATTTTACTACACCGGTTAGAATTTACTCGTTTAATTTTAACTATTCATATGCCAGAGCAATATTTGATATTTTCTCGAGTAACTAACTTTTACTAATGCACTTGTCAGGAACTCAAGATCAAGTCAGATGTTTTCATTGTGATGGTGGACTACGAAACTGGGAGCCAATAGATGACGTATGGTTCGAACATGCACGATGGTTTCCAACATGTACTTTTGTCAATCTAGTGCGTGGGCCAGAATTTGTCAAACACTGTATAGATAATAGACCACCTTTGGATCCTAAGGTATCTTTCTATTTCTTTGTCATTATCTTATCATTTTATCAATAAATGAGCAATAAAATATAGACAGTTGTACACCTAGTGTACAATAGAGTCTATTATTGCACATTTAAACGAGAAGATGTTTAAACATATATTTAACGTGTATATTTACAGCTACGTGTAATAAAATAATCATGATTATTGCGATTACACGAGCTTATTCGTTTGCTAACTTTGAATCCGTTTATCCGTTTATTCGTTTATCTTTTTATACGAAGGGAAGTCTTGTTGCCTTTTTTCGAATCGTGCGAGGCAAGAAAAACAATCAGCAATAATATAATACCGCATATATGCTTTTCTTCGTATGAGTGATACAAAGTCGTAATCGTGTAAATAGTTATTTGTATTATTGTTAAATATACGTGTATATATATCGTAAAATCCGTTTAAAAGATTCAACGTTTGGTTAGGCCGAAACGGCTTCCATCGGGCATTTTTAAACGCTTAAACGTATATTCGATAAACGGACGAGAGTCCTAGTATGTAACATATTTTTAAGAGAATCCTAGTATGTAACATATTTTTCTACTCTTGCATTTATTTATCTTTATTTATACATAGATATTAGGCGAAACACCAGACGAGGAAGGTGAAGATGTTTTAGAAACTTTAGCAGCTACATCTCTCCCTACAGTTCCGCAATCTGCGCAATCTTTACGTGTGATAACAGATTCAGTAATTGCAAAGTTATTAGATACTGCTCCAGTACTGGTAAGTAGAACGATTTAATTAATTTATATACGGAATGAACCGTTATTTCTATGTAAAAAGTTGTAAAATCGTAAGTTTGTTTTTAGGAACTATTAGAAGGAACGATAAATTTATCCCTTGGTATCTTAAAGTTCACTCATATATATAAAACACGGGAAAAAAACTTGATTACACCATTTCTAGTGGTACTCGTGCAAATGATTTGCAATACTCGGCTTTACTTGTTTCTTACATCGATTTGTTTATCATATAAATGAATTTCTATGAATGAGGGTCAACTGCTGTTAGCGCGTGATAAGTTTTTATGTTTATATTATATAAATTTACAGAAGATTCCGTTTTGATCCACATTTTGGGCCTTTTTCAGTGAATATAACGCAAACCATAATAAAAATTAAAAACGCTCGAGCAGACTGTAATTAAAATTTTATCGCAATATGCACGCGATAAAGTAAACTGATGATACATAATTCGATCCGTCAAAATCCGTTATCTTTCAAACATTCTTAAGCGATAATGTGGAAAAATAAGAACTTTCCAAGCCGTATGAACCACTGCTTTGTTATTTATAGAGCCTTGATAACATTAATTTATATACCTTTTTATAGAGTGCACTTGAAATTGGATTATCTGTAGATAGAGTAAAGAGGACTCTAAAGAAAAGAATGGAGGAATATGGTGTAACTTACACAAGTGCTGAAGAACTTATACAGGATGTTCTGAATGATCAAACTATGGAAGATTATAATAGGTATTCCAAACACAAATTATGATATACAGGGTGTCCCAAATTAATCTTAGTTCTCGTAGTGTATCAGACTATAGATTGGGGATTGTGATTGAACAGGTGAAATTGAACAGAAAAGTCCTATACTATTTTGCAATTAACACGCAAAATTTCGAGTTATCAATGATTGAAAATAGCCATGTATAGGCTTCTTTAATTAATAATTCAAAAATTTGCGTGTTATTTGCAAAATGGTAAAGAACTTTTTCGTTCAAAGTGGCTTAATCTACAAATATATGACAATTGTTGTACCTAAAAACAGACATACATCTTATATATTTTATATATATATATATATATATATATTGAACTTTGACCCTTGAACCTTGAACTTGTTGTTAGGTACAATATAAAATGTCATATACTTGTAGATTAGACTATTCAAAACAAAGAAGTCTCTCACCATTTTGCAAATAACACGCAAATTGTTGAGTTATTAATTAAAAAAGCTTTTATTTATTTCCAATTACTGATGATAACTCGAAATTTTGCAAAATGGAACATTTCAGTTTCACCCGTTCTACTTGTACACCACGGGAATCAAGATTAGTTTGAGACACCCTGTATAGTATGTTACGTGCGATTAGACATACTTGTGTCATCGAGACAACATCATTTAGAAGATCATTTTTCCCCCAACAGTGGCGCTTCTGACTCATCATTTTCGGAATCGGTTACGTCAGTGGATCGAGTTGTTGCGCAAATAGCTCATGAGGCTACAAGCACGTCCAATGACACCGAAAAACCCGATGTATGTTCCGAGATGAATGATTTGGATGATAAAGACGAAGATAACGAAGGTGAAGAGCGAGAAACTGGCGCAGCCAAAAGTGGTGCCTCCAAAGATAAAGAGCGGAAAGCCGATGTAGTCGATAAACAGGACGAACTCGAGGGGAAGAAGGCGGATAAATCCGATAACATAAGTAAGTGATACAGGCATAAGAAATAACATGATTCAGTATTATATCCATTCTGTGAATCTATTTTATATCGCTTTCATCGTATTTTTTTATCCTTATCGTTCCGATAACGCGACTTTAAAACCGCTTTCGAATTTTATCTGAATTGGAATTGGAAATGATAACACTGTCCACAATGCATTTTTTTGTTTCAAAGTACACGCTATGCTATCGTGTACAATCCTTGGCCATATTATTAGACGCATCTTAATTTTTTTACATTTCTTCATTAACTTCCGAGGACCAGCTTTATAATATGGCTCGTCCATTGATCGAATTATGTAAAGGAATTATTCTATAAAATGGTATTTATTTTTTTATGACGTCATTGCACTCGGCTGTTACAACGACCTTGAACAAGTATGAATCCGTGCTAGTTGCATTGTCTGTGATAACGGGAACAGACGTGAGCTTTGAGTGTGTGTCAATTGAGCTTTAGTTTTATTTTTGTTCATTTGTGACTCGAAACTTCAAATTCTTTGCTAACTGAAGAAATAAATTTTTGTGTGAGAAATATTAATATTTTTTACAAAAATTATGGATAAAACAAGTGATTTGACATTTCAGAAGATCGCAGAGGTAAAAGCACTATTTGACATTGAAAATTAATTCCAATCGAGTAAACATAAAATTAATAGCTTTCCTTCTCTTCCTAGCCTGCATTCTATTCTAAAGAATCAAAGTGCGTCTAATAATATGGGCAGGGTCTGTATGTTCTGTATTATATGCATATGGTAATTTGTACTTTCGAAAAAAAGATATACACAAGCGTATCTCATGTGTAAATGTTTCCATGTTTTATACTTCATTGTTCTTTCAGCATTACAAGAGGAGAACAGGAAATTGAAAGAGGCTCGTTTATGCAAAATTTGCATGGACAATGATGTATCTATAGTATTTTTACCCTGTGGACATTTAGCGACATGCATCTTCTGCGCGTCGTCTCTTACATTCTGTCCGATGTGTAGAATAATGATACGCGCCAGTGTTCGTACCTTCTTGTCCTAAGTCAAATTTCAACGCATTTATTAGATTTTAACGTGTTATCGTGTATATACTTTATAATGTTTTGGAAATATCTTCATATAAATTTTTACTTGCGACAATAACATAGGTTATATTAGTAACTGTTAGTTATATCGATATATATTCCAAAGTTACCGGTATATAGTCCAAAGATTCTTCATTGAACACACATTGGTTGATTCCGTTAAATATAGGAAAGTAATTTGGGTTTGTTCTTTCTAAAATATATTTATTTTAACACGTTAACTGCCGCATTGATTTTTATTAATTGCTCAGAAACTTAATTAAAAATTTAATGATATATAGCAGATAAATGCAGTTTTAAACGTATATGTTTTTTTTTCTTTTCTTTTTGGTTTCAAAGGTTCATTCTCTGTCTTACGTCGTACAATTTTATTAGATATAGTTACATTTTATTGTATATATTAACGAGATGCTTTAATATGATAATGACAAGTGACCATTGCTGCATTCAACGTGTTAATAAAGAATTGGACTTTATTTTGTTAATAACNTTAAAGATACATATCGTAAACAGTGAACGGAGATATAGTCTTTGAAATATATCTGTTCTTCAATTTGAATTTTAATAATTATATAATATATAATTACACAATTTTCATATGTATTTATATATTTAATTTGTAGTCGCAGTAACTGACAATATTACATGAGGCCTGCTTAAATCGTGCAAATTACGATTCTTTCTTGAATAGAATTAAGCTTGAAATGTTCATCGTTTCTGAAATGTATCTTATATTTATGTACAGGTATTATTATAATAAATTATATTTTTGTACTAAATTGCTAAGAAATTTCGTTATAAGATATCACGTAGACGCATATGACATATTGATGTATAAATTTATCATTAACTGGTTCAAATAGTTTATTGTCTAACGAGATAACATTTTTATGGCATGATATATATCACGTCCATATATTTCTCAGGTATTAAAAACATTATAAGTTGGAGATATGGTTATACACCTTGATATATATACATACAAAATCTATTTTGTTTCTGTAGTTATAAGTAGGAATATGGAAATTAATGTGATTTCGCAGTAAGCTTTCTAATCGACCGCTTCTTAATTGAGTAGGCAATTCGTGATGAATTTTTACGGCTTAGACAAATATTGAACTAAAATAGCAATTCGGTTTATTGTTTATATTAAGATGATTGACACGCTCTGGCACATCTTAGTATCGCCTGCGAAAGATTTTAATACAGTCTTGCGCAGTCTAATCACAAGGAACTTCGCTAAAAAATGTTTCTATTCAAGTGATAACATTGTATATACCTGATATTGTGTTGTATTTTATTTATTTTGTATCAATTTTAATTAAGTTATTGTTTTTATTATTTATGTGTATTTGTCATTTTTGTTATAAAAATTATTTTGCAATAATATAGCTTTTACAAAAAAATGCCCTATTTTGTACATCTTCATGAATTTATTTATATAATAAATGCAATAGATTTAATTGATATTAATTTATATATTGTACATTTAAAGTAAATAAGATGTAAGTAGTGACTACTCACAAAAATGTAAGTTTTTATAAGAAATTAAATTTGCTTCAAGTTAATATGAGATTTAAGAAATTGTAAGATATTCTTATATTTATTCGGATTTAATAATTGAAGTGAGACATTTGATGATACTAACTCTTTCTTTTGATATAATTACTCATTCTCGGCGTGTTATAAGAAATATAATATACAAACAAATGTTACATATGTGCGGGTTATATTATGGATTAGTTATTAAGCTTACAAATATGTTTACAGTATTTATAACGTTAAGAAATTTTACGGAACAATATCGGATACATCACACAATAGAAGAGTGGACAAATAAAAATATAAATTATATTATTCTTTAATAGTTATAATTTATACATGGATGCAACGAGTTACAAATAGGCATACCAATTATTTACCAATTATTTTACCTTTTAGCGGAAATTGCGCACTTTAGGTACACGAGACGAGTTTATCAGAAACATTACAAAAGAGGATCTTTAATTACTGATACCCCCACCGCATGTCATGATAAAATTTATGAGTAGAAATATATATAAGATCATTTTCCACCGCGTTCTTGTTCTCCGTGTTGTGTTCGTTAGTGGTGAATACATAATGTTATGAGGTGATCGAGAGGTTGTCAAACGGCATTATACTAATATACCAGTGTATGTATGTCCAGTAAATACTAGTACTTAGCATTTAAGTCTAGGAACGTATATTAATTGAAATTGTCGTAAAAATAAAAAAGATAATGGTTGGGTTTTAAGGAATATACAGATACAGGATTGATATAAATATGATATCGTCGAAGTGTATGCGCACGCATTGTGTTTGTGTATCGTAAATCGGGCAAATTCAACTAGATAAGAATAAAAAAACGAAATTGTATATCCTAAAAGAATGTTTCTTATGTTCGAATTGTGATATTACGCGAAGACGGGACAGACAATACTGCAAAATAAAAATCTATTTGTTGCAACACAATAATATATCTTGTTATTTTCTATAGTTTCTCTATATACTTGATTCAGTCTTGAAAAATAAAATGTAATTATCATTCGGTGATAGAACTTTGTCGAGCCGCTTTCCTTAGAACTTGATTACACACTGACTCAAAGACTCAGATAAGAAAATGTTTAACCACAGCTGCAATTGTATGACGGCTACTCGCAACAAAAAGAATAGATCATATTTCCCGAGTATAACGTCAAACATTTCATATAAAATTATAATGATGTGACACATGTATTATTTGTAATCATAAAGTATTTATTTGTGATACAAACGATTTTACAAAAACATTGCAAATAAATGCTGGATCTACATATAATCAAGGTGCAATATTTTACATGTAAAATGTTATTCTTTCTCCCTAATTTCTGTTTATATTACAGTTTTCTATGCAAAGTCTGATAAAATATGGTGTAGTTTTATACAAGAATGTCTTCATAAAAGTACATTCTCCCATACAGACCTCCTAAAGACGTCTGTGCCGCCGTCCTGTTTTCTTTCTTTCGCTCCTTGTGTGGTAAAGAGAGAGAGAGAGAGAGAGAGAGGGAGAAAGAGAGAAAGAGAGCACAGTGCGCGACTGTTGTGGCTCATATAATCCACAGAGCTCTGGTTGTACGAAATTTAAATGAGAAGACGACCCATTCGACTCTGTTCCAGGTCGTCGCGTGTCGCTCGGATTGGCGCTGATCCCCCTTCCCTTCGCCTCTGCGAAATTCGACGGCAGGAAAACGGCGCTTTTCCCTAAGCTGGCAGCGGGGCATGTTTTCCCACCGACCGGCTCCGCCAGTCAGCCCGTCGACTCGTTGCGGAGCGTTGCTACAGCGAAGCGGAGCGGGTCGCGCAAGCCGAGTGAAGACCACGAACAACGAACGTTCGGAGAAGCCGAATCGCTCCGCTCGTAGCTGTGACCAGTCACATTAACGTAACGATAGTATTTCCAAGAGAGGCGAAATTGCTTCTGGACGTCCGGTCACAGTTTCTCACGGAAATCGTTGCGTTACAAGCGATATCGATACCCCCGTTCGTGCCGTATCGACCGTATCGACATCCAAGAGGGGAGCGAAGCCTCCGACGAAGACGTGACGTCAACTTCACCCGATATAACCCGAGCGCACGAGAGAGAGAAAGAGAGAAGTTGGCAAGACAGACGCGGCATAAGTAAGGCGACGAGCCCGGCGTTATCAGCGGGTAAGTTGAACGCTGACCGATCAGTGGGGGAGATTACGGGGAGAAATGTAAATAGATAAGATTGCGGTCACTCCGCCATTGCATGGCTTATCTCTCGCGTAGCTCTCTCGTAGATTATTGCGACTTCCCGCGAAAGTCTGGCGACACACGTCTGGCGCAATCGCTTCTCCGTACCGAGCAAGCGATCTCGACGCCTTCGTGTGCGTGTTTCCTTTGTCCGCCTCCGCCGAACGGACGGCATAAATAATTCATAAAGCCGCGCGAGCACACGTCACGCGCGCTCAGCGACGGCCGCGAGACGAGATCGTGTCGACGCGTATCGACGGATTTTTCAGTCAACATTCTTCGGGAATTCCTCGAAACCATCGGGAGTCGCGAGAATCATCTTGCGTGCGACGCAGCCGCGTGCTTCTGTATTTTCCTCGAATACACACACGCATCTACGTGTAATTATATATTAAGTTATATATCAGATTGACACGAACAGGTTCCCCTTAACGCTCGCAACGATCGTGAGCGTCATTCCGTTTCTGTCCAAAGGGGAAACAACTGACCTCTCCGATCTATCGACTCGATCTGACTCGGCCAGCATTCCGATATTCGGTACAGTATCGCAAATTATAGTACACGTGACACGAACTGTAGATGGTGATACTGCAGATATTGGAACGTTGCCCGAGTCGAGTCGGCGAATCGAAAACGCCGGAAGGCAGAACGATGCTCGTTGCGAGCGTTGAGTGAAACCCGCCCAACGTCCCTGATCAACAACAATGGAGATTGCACGGCTCATGTTCGTCGATAAGTCGTACGTAACTTGCCGATAGGCCACATCTGTTATCACATGTAAACATCTGGATCTCGACTTTCGGGATCTTTTAATGCCCTCTCGAGTGCGCGTGCTCTCGCAGATCGCAGATAACATTCGATTTTTATCATCGTGACGCGATTCAACTGTCCCGAAATAGTCACAGGGCGGATATCGCCACGCACAGCTGCGTCACGCGCGGCGCCGTTTCTCTCTGTCTCTCTTTTCCCTCTTCCCTTCTCACTCTCTCGTACAAAGGCACAGCTTGGTACACGAGACATTCCACATCTGCCCCCCCCCCCCCCCCCCCNCCCCTCCCCCTTGTCTCGATCCCTCTTCCTTTCGCTCGCGTTCTTCTCTCTCTCTCTCTCTTTCTCTCTCTCTCTCTTTTGTCGGCAGCTAAATATCCGTTGTACTTTGAAATCTCGTTCTCTAGTGCGTGAACGTCACGCTTTGACGATTTCCGAGAGAAAAGGAAGGGAAGCAGATGCGTGGCTTCAGAGGGGGTATCGTCTATGTTGCCTCCCCGGCGCCACTGTTTGTTATTTCGACGCGGTGGCGAGTGATTTTTGTCCTATCTCTCCGAGGACCGTAAAGAATCGTCCCCGGGCTACTGCGAGAGTTTCGTCAAGCACGAAACAACCCAGGCAGAAAATAACGATGACGTGAAAATGACGTCAAAACGATGAACGAATGGTCGAAAAAAGAGTTTTATAATCATTTTTCTCGTCATTTGACATCACCGCTATTTTCTGCTCCACCTGGGAAGTCCCGAGAAAACACTTTTCTCGATACTTGTCTCGGTATTGATTGATTATTGTGTTATTAAGATGGCAATACTGCGATATTCATGTTGACTGATATTACGAGATAGCATTGGCAATTCACTGCTGTAGTTATCGCGAGATATATCTATTTTTCACTAACTTAAAGTACCGACAAACACCTTTGACCAACGTAGCAGATAGTGAGGATTGACGTAATTAATCGCTTCGTTGTAATCTTCTTTATTTTGGCGTGGCGATGGAAAATCACTCTATCAGTATTATCCGAAAGTATAAATCTACAATCACGAGTGTGTGAGCACAATTTGAACCTTTGGATCTTCATTGTTAATCATAGTGAACAAATATAAAGATAATATTCTTTGTTAACAGTATGAAAGTATTGTTACATTTCAAGATATTTCGTGCCGGAAAAAAGTAACAGTTTAGTAACAAATTATAGCAACTCTGGCAGAAGGTGAAACAGATGAGTACGTATATTCCAGGTCATTTGAGGTCATATAATAACATCTTCCGACAAAATAAATAATAAGTAAATAGTAATCGACTAGAAACATTTGTAAGAGCTACGTGGCTTCCAGTTCTTCTTTTTCGGCTTTTCATCATTACTTTAATCTCTCTTCTTCCTTTCTAAGAATTATTCGTTACGATTATTCGTTACCTGCGAACGGAAATTTTACTGTATCGCGAAAATTTATTTCTGATTCAGTCCACTGGAATTTACAGACCAATAATGTTTTCTTGTGAACGATAATTGTTTTGAACGTTTCGCTCCTTTACGCCGAAGCGTAGTCAGTTCCAGACAGAGATTGCGATCTTTTTTAAGATACTAGGATTTCTAGGATGAGATAAAGCGTTGATGATAAGTGAGTTTGAATAAGATGTTGAAATTTGTAATAAAGTGTCATTTGCTTCTGGATATTTTTACATTTCTCGTTAACATCTTAATACTTCTGCAGTCACCTCTCACTCTGTAGTCACTAGAAACTTATGCAATCGAGAAGAGAGAGAGAGAGAGAGAGAGAATGAGAGATAAATGCATCTCGACTAGAAACGGTATGGCAGTAACACAGTGAATGCCTGCGTGTGCAGACGAAATTGCTGAGCACGGAAATTAATATTCAACGTGAGTGCAATTAATTAATTAATTAATTAATTAATCGTAAACGGGAAATACGAGACAACACAAATATTGAAAAGATGCCATCGTAAGTGTGTACATACAGGATGGGTCCAAAGTTTATGTACAGTTGAATATCTCATAAACAAAGCAATTTTGAAAAAAATGTTTTAAATAAAAGTTGTAGGATTTAAAAAGATCAATTTACCGGTATTATCTGTTTCACCTTGGGTGAAGTCATCAAAGTCAAGTGGAAAGTCAATTTCATTTTTTTTTTTTTTTTTTAATGGAACCATATAGTTTTCTTAGTAATATTTTTTTGTACTTTTGTACGCAGAATGGACAGAGGAATTGATTTGTGTTAAGAAAACTATATGAATCTATTAAAAACAAATAAAATTGACCTTCATTTGACCTTCATTCGTTCTTCACCCAAGGCCAAACTGATGAGATCAATAAATAGATTCCTTTAAAACACAGCAAATTTTAAGAACAACGTTTAGAAACCCTACAACTTTTATATAAAACATTCTCAAAATTGCATCGTTTACGAGATATTCGACTGTATCTAGACTTTTAGCCCACTCTGTATATGTTTAATTTATATCTCAATATATTTCATATATATCTATAAATTTCATGTATATATTTTATTCTTATTTCCATGCATTAAAAAATTTTATGTTAAAAACAGTCCACTGAAATTTTGTGTTACTTTAACATGGAGGATGTGTGTAAGTATGTACATATCAGGTCATTCGGAAAGTGTTAAAAGATATACAAATATAATGTTAAATTAAGCATTTACCTTGTCAACATGTTAACAAGATGGATGTGTTAATTTAATATTATATTTGTATACTTTTTAACGTAACTTTTTGAAGCAACACAATTTCTATGGACCGTTTTTAATAAAAAATTGTTTACTGTATATATCAGATGGTTGATGACATTTCTTCGGATACCGCGACTTTATTGCCATTTTACATAAATGAAAAACGTTCTTTGTCTCTCCTTTAAATTGTCGTAGACTTTTAATTTTTGTCAAGGTCGTGTATTTTTGTAATGAACGTGTACTACGGTTTATAACTGATCCACGTGTCCATCCAAGTGTTAAATAGAACACCCTGTGTATATTCATTCCATATAGATATACACAGTATATTTTATTGATACGTGAATTAATTTTCAAGCGCGGTATAATGCAAATGAAAATGTCCCAATATAACGTATGCCATTGATAGAAGCATTACAAACGAGCAGTGAGTAAACCACGCTTCGTGTACTGAATAATAAATGCGTTTGTACTCCACAAATAGAAAGGAAGAAGCTACAGAGAGAGAGAGAGAGAGAGAGATAGAGAGAGAGAGAGAGAGAGAGAGAAATATAGGGAGGGTTATACTGTCAAGTAAAGAACATCCTAGGAATGTGACTGATCGTGCCTAGGTAAAAGGATAGTCACAATGGTCTATCCTTTCAAAATTCCAGACGACTCCGTGTCCTCCTGACATTCTTTTACCTAAAAATACCTACATCCCGTGGCAGGAAATTCCAAGAGGCCTATTTTCGTTGAATTCACTAATACAATAGATAGACGTCGGAAAAAATGTTGACGCCGTCAATAATTCAAAAGCTAAAATAGATGTATTTGACGCACACATGCGCGCGCGCGCGCGTGTGTGTGTGTGTGTGTGTAAAATACACCTATTTTAGCTTTTGAATTATCGATGGCGCCAACATTTATATATATATATATATATATATATATATATTGTATATATGTATATATATATAACACCAAGCACCAGTCGCATACATCTTGCCGATCATAATTAAGGTTGTTATTCTCAATTTTATACATGCACACATGAACTTGAAAACCACCTAGGAAGGCCTAGGAAGTAAGTGTCAAAGTTTACGTGACGCGGTTGGTAGACACGTAACTGGGATGTCCCGTCTACAAAGCACTCGTTGTTAAAAGTTTCGCGGTTTTGTAACTGTTCTATCATCGTTGACTCATATCCTGTCATATCCCAGCACGCTCCGTCAGCGAGCGCTGAACTTTATCATAGCATCGCAAATATTCACATCCCATATTCCACAAAGTTCTCTTTTTTCTTCTGAAGAAAGAACTCTGTTCGATTAGTTCTCAAACCGAGCATCGCTCATTGTCATTTTGCAGATCCCTCCAATCGCGCGCTCGTCACGAACGCTCCACCCCAAAGATGACCGCTGGAATGTTGGAATACAGGGATTTTGGAGGAGCCTTAAAAGATCCGACCCCTGTGCCGAAAGCAACGGCAAACGAGAGCGGCAATGAATTGATGACAGGTCGCGACGATGTGGACTATACGGATTATCGGTTCGAGTCCGCAAGATTGGACAGTTTCGCTGAATGGCCGTTGACGTATCTGGATCGGGAGACACTCGCAGCGGCTGGCTTTTACTACACCGGTAAGACGGACGCGGTGAAATGTTTCGAATGCCACTTGACACTGTGCAAATGGTCGAAAAGCGACAATCCCTGGGTGGACCACCAGCGATTCTCCGAGAGATGCAGGTTCCTCCGCGGCATCCCCTGTGGAAACGTGCCGATCAACGTTGATCCCGACACCGTAGCGCCACCGGAACCGAGAACCCGCGACTACTGCGGCATTTATGGTGTGCAATATCGGCCGAACGCCGTCGTCGACACTCCCGTCGAGGTTTATTTCGAGAAAACCGAGAAACCGAATACGATCAACCTCAACGAGCTGCGAGAGGCGAGACATCCTGAATACGCCAACGTCAGCGACCGAGTGGCCACGTTCGCGACATGGCCGGAGGGGAAGGTTCAAACGAAGGAACAGTTGGCGGATGCCGGCTTTTATTATTCCAAAGTGGGGGACAGAACGATCTGTTACTATTGCGGGGGAGGCCTGGAAGGCTGGGAACCGAACGATGTGCCTTTGCAGGAACACATCAAGTGGTTCGCCAAATGCAAATACGCCTTGCTCAAACTGGAGAGTGAGAAGACCAACTCCACCGCGTCATCTCACATATGATGTCACCCGATAATAAGATGAGGCTATTTCGACAATTGCATACGAGGGGAGTCGCGTTAATTGTCCGATATGCAATGCAACAAATATGAAACGATAATTGAACTCTAACTTGTTTCAGGAACCCTTAAACGGGGTGTTAACGGATCGAAAGAGAGAGAAGGAAGGAGAGGGGGAGAAAGATGCCGAAGATAACCACTAGAGTAACAATAAATCGTTCTCGAGAACGTAAGAACATTGCTACAAATTTTCAATGAACTAAAACTGGCTGGAACATAAGACGCTTGGGAAATAAAGAGGAAACGTGCCGCGACGAAGTTCGTGGAATCATCGGGCGGCAGGGGAAACGTGTGATGTATGTGATACAATAGGGAAATGGAGGAGCGTACATCTCGTAGGACTTGAGTGATTTATACGGCGAAATATATGAAAAACAAGCGTGCGTGAGACATGTTCCAATGTCCGAATTCTAACTGGCGCCAGAAGCCCGCGAGTCTACGGTTCGGCAACGCACGGACCGTCCCATCGTAGCAATTTTTATCGCAATCAACCGAACGTATTTGATCAATTTGGACACCCGCTACAATCCGGCGTGTTCCGCAACGCGAACGAGACTCGTAAATAAGGCTTAATGACATGACTCATACGGCGCATCGATTTGAACGTACATAGACAAGCACATACACGCACTATATATTAATATATTAATAATAATTACACATATAATGTATTAATATATATTAATATTAATATTATATATATATATATATATATATATATATA